CAAATTGTAGAAAATAAGACATGCAAATTAAAACATGATTGCACATCAAACTAGACAACTAAATGTGAATCCAAAAACGTATAATTGCTTTAAATTGTCTTGGAAATCACATGTAGGCGGCGCTTTACGTTTGGATGAGATTTGACAAGCTTTGACATCACAAACTCTCAAGAGGTGCAATCTGCAAAGGCACCTGTTCACAAATCTGCACACTTTTTTTGTCCTCCGTGTCATCTCTCAAAATAGACAACTTTTCTCGTGCCATCTTTGCTCCATTCTCTTCTTGACTCATTAAATTAACATTGTAAAGAATTTTTGGCCTCAGAAATCTTTGTCTCCTCGTGTGCATTAGCTAGCCTTTGAAGATGTAATATGAAAGCCTCTTGAATCTTCTTTGCTTTGCTTCTTGTAATTGGTCACAAATTGATTGATTGGGTTCGGAAGCACTTTTCGAAGGAACTAAGAATTTGTCCAAGTTTAAAGCTCATGATTCATGCCTGAAGGAGCTCCAAGAGGAATATATACCAATATCACTCTAGCTATGAACTTTCCCAGACTGGGAAGATATAGAGAAAAGTTAGGTTGGATGGTGGTGGTTAAGTGAGGAAATGGGGTAATGTAATTGTAATGTAAGACACAATAATTTGGTTAATTAACCAAAAAGAATTCAGCAACTATCACATCAGAATTCAGAAAGTGGGGTGCTTATGCTGATGGGATTTGTATTTGGATTTGGGTGTTAGGTAAAGTTTATCAATCTGGGCTTCAATTTTTAAGAGAGGCCCATGTGTTGTTGCTTACACAAACACACACACCCAAAACGTGAAATCTGGAAGTTTGAAATTTGGAAATGATCGTACAATGAGTCTAAGTTGGTCGAGTCATTCTGAATTTAGTTTTGATTTTGGTGGCAGAAAATTGAACCAAATTGATTCAGTACTTTTAATCATCCAATTAACTTAGTCTGAAGAGGAAGTTCAGAATGGTTGAGCTAATGACATTTTTTTTTCTTTTTTAGAATCGTTGATCTAATGACAGGTGAATCTCACATATTCTCAACTAATTGTTGCATGTTTAATTAAGTATTAATTAAATTTAGAGTATTTGCATAAATAGCATAAAATTGTTTTTAAATATAGCAAAAAGTCTAGAATTTATTTAAAAAAATAGAAAAAACAATAAACATGCCATAATCCACATCAAACAGTAGCAGATCTTCAGGAATTGTTTCAGTGAATCCCATTGAACCCACATGTGATACAAACAGTAGCAGCTAAATCTTAGGACAAGAACTACGAATATCATAATGTTCTAATTCTTCTTCGGATTCTTAAAATGCCATAGCTAATTTCAACGAGTCTTGAAACTATAACTACAACCATATTTAGACATTAACTAAATGAATTAAGTAAATGAAAAGGCGGTCCGTAATAAAGCAATCAACCAACAAGCTCGATACCCATCTCCTATCCCATTTCTAAATATGGAGACAAAATGAATTAGATTACAGTTTTTAATTCCTGCATCCCATTAAGAACAGAGATTCTTGTAGCATTAAAGTTTATTTGGATTCCCACTTTGAAGCAATGTATTTATGATTGAAAGTTGAAAAAGTAGACATTATCAAATCACGAAGCCAATAATTTAAATGATAAATGGTCAACTTTCTTTTCCGGAAAATTGAACAAAATTGCTGAACTTACTTATAGATACAATAGTTGTACTCTTGACTCATAGCAAGGTCCTTCTCTCCTTCCTCGAGCTGCATTAATACAAGTCCAACGCGTAAAAATGGACTCATAAATTAATGAAAATTAGTGAGAGAAGAAAAACCACGAGTAACAGAGGACAATAAAACGAAATTGGCTCAAATAAACCGGAAGAATAAAAATAGGAAGGGGGCATCACATTCTAAAATTTCTCAAATAATTTTCCAACTACGTTCAGTTCGAGAGAGGAAAACAAACCCTAAAAATAGATCGAAAAAAATGCTCACCTCTCGATATCAATGTAGTCATCCTGCTTCTTCTGCTTGGTTTCAACATCCTGAATAATTGACAATATTCAGTATAAATAGTGAAATTTAGGGCATTACCGGTGGATTTGGGTTTGAAATAGTGAGAAACACAGCAAGAACCATCGAAGTCACATTCAAATGTATGAGGGAGAAATTGAGAAAAAAAGAACAAAAATATGAGGGAGATGAGAGGCTTACCGACAGCGACGGAAAACAGAGGGGTGGAGTTGGAGACACTGACAGGCGAGGGGGGACTAAAAATTAGGGCTCGAACTTCATGGGCGGACGAAAATTATTTAAGCCCAACGAAAGATGGGTCAAGGTACCGACGAAACATAATATTTCATCTGGCTAGATTTAAATCCCGACAAAATATAATTTTGTCAGGAGTATTTAAACCCGACGACGAGAGGACTCCTTTTCCCAACGAAATACTAATTTCGTCGGAAAAAATTACCCACGCATTTATTTTCGTCGCGGAAGGCTTAAAATTCCGACTAAAATAAAAGCATCGGGAAAATTGTAAATTCTTGTAGTGATTTATTTCGTTCTTTTAACGTTCTTAAGCGAGTTTATACTCCCCTCACGCTCGAAAGATACGAGGGTCAAGCTAGAACGCTTTGTACGCCGTTTTTATTCATTAAAATTCAATGGAAACTATTTCTTTTATGTTCTTGTGTGTTTTCTTTCCTTATGCACTACGTTATTTATCGGTCTCTTTGTGGAATGCCTTAGTCAAATGATTTGATTTTCGAACATGACCACATTGCGTCTGGCGCAATCTTTGGTTGGTTTCTAAAAAATTGTCTTTACATCTTTTTTTCTATTTGGCCACTGGGAATTTGATTTATGCACTAAAGCCCAAGTCTGAGAAGGGTGGGTTAGATAAAATAATAGGAAACCAATATAGGATGTGATTTAGACATAAGCGCATAAAACACCGTCTTAGACATAGGCCCTCTAACCCATAAATGAAAATGAGTTGATAATTACTTTCTAGGATTGTAATCACACATAGAAATATGATTGTAGGTTACCTTAGCCTCTGCAATAACCAAAAGCGGTTCGTGAAATAGTAGACCTCATATTCACAAGATTTAGCCAAATAGTGGTTGGTGCATTTTCCCCAAAGTGTGTATCTTCTATATTTTCCATCAAAACTAAGGTAGAAAGCAAAGAGGTTCTGTTTTATTAAATTGTTTGATATTTGAAACCCCAAACAATAACTTTTTATCACTATTTTCTCCGTAAACCACAATTGCATCTTTGAACCATTTCACTTTATTACTTAATTCTGAAAGCACAAGTCCCTGAGGATTCGACCCTGGATTACTCTCACGTATTATATGTGACCATGTATATGAAGGGATGTGAATCCCGGAGCGGAAGCGAACCGTTGTTCGTGACATTTGGGAAACAAAATCACAAAGTGCAAGAAGAAAAACACAGTGGAAAACCATTACCTTTGAAGAACTTTTCTTCAACGGTTTCCACCCAAACACCACCACCGAGTCTTCCTTGCTATCCTTTTGGATTTTGAGAACACGCTTGTGGGAGCGTTTCGTTTTCAATGTGAGGGAGAGTTGAGGGAGAGAGCTTGATTGAGAGAAAATCACACTGTTCTTCGTTGGGGCCTTTTTCCTGTTGCAGAACACTTCTGCAAAAAAACTAACTCCCCAGGTCATAGCTGCCCCAACTCTCCTGCAATTAAGCAGGGGAGTGTTAATATTAATATTATTAATAATATTAATATTAATAATTAATATATATATATATAATAATTAATCATATTAATTAATAAATATTAATTAATTATTAATCTAATTAATAATTAATTAATATGTATATATATATCAAATAAATAATTAACCCTTAATTATTTATCACAKAAATAGAATCWTATTCTATTGCATTTCTCTCRTATAACYTATAGTTCTAATGTACATCTTATGCACATTATTTTTAACCTATAGTCTTAATATGAATCTTATTCATATTAATTTTATTTGAATCTCATTCAAATAATTTCTCTCATAATATATAGTTTTAATTTAGAATCAACTATATATTATAATGTATCAATATACATATAATCCCTTAAGAAATTTGAACAATTCAAATTCTTCCAAAAACTTGATCCTCGTTTTACCCGTTATGAGCTAGCAAGGGGACCTAATGAACCTACAGATCAGAAGCTCCAACGATACGAGATTAATCGGTCAAACTCATTGACCGAGTTAATCAACATTCGTTAACCACGGGTCACTCCACTAAAGACCCGCAGTTGTGCTCTTCTTACTGCAGAATGTTTTCGTGCCCATGGATATACGACCATTAATGACGAGTCAATCCTTCACGGGTGCTCATAACTCAAGTTGGGTCAAATTATCGTTTTACCCCTGAGTTACATCTTACTCCTTAAATACCACTGCTCCTCTAATGAACAACCTGGTTATGGTCCGACCAGTAACCGGAAGTCCCTCTCGGACCAATGAGAGGGTGGGGCCCCTTGTTCAAGTCCCGGAGTCAGCATTTAAACACTCATCTACTCCCCTAAAGTCGGAGAGGAGTGAATTCCATCTTGTGAAGTTATGTTCCCAGCTCCCCACTTGGTCTTGTCCCCAAAATGGTAGGAATGTTGAGTCGGCGACTCGGGCCACTCTCACCCATACAGATCAAAGGACGAGCCCTCACGGGTAGGARTCCATAACTCACTCAGGATTGAGAATGAGTTGCCTGGTCATCCTAAGAAATAGCAACCTATTAGTTAACGGTGTTACATCTGAAGATTGCCTATTTCGTGGTCCAGTCTTATACAAACTCATTGTATAGGATACCCCCACTCGCATGTCTCTACACGAACGACCTGGATCGAGTCGTCTGTAACCTTTACAGAGTGGGCCGTATCCATAATGTTGTCAGGATAAGGTACCCAACCTTATCCATATACTATAGACCCTTTAGGTTATTCATGGGACATTATCCACTTGTATATCAGGGTATATCAAATATATACCTCGTATATCAGGGGTATATCAAATATATACCCAGTATATCAAATATATACCCAGTACATATACTGTCCCGGTTACACTAAAATAACCTCGGATGTTTAGTTTATTGGATTTTAGACAATGCAATGCTATGAATTCAACAAAAACTTTATTGAATATACATTTGTTTTTACAAAATACAAACTACGAGTTTAGGGCAACACACCCAACAGTATACTTGCAAGTGTCTCTTATCTTTAAAGGTAGAGAAAGTCTCAACAGCCTCTATGGTGGAGTCTGCGATGCATCCTTGGTTGATGTTCGCCAAACTACTGCTCCTCCGTTAAGAGTGAATACTGACCCTGATGTGAATTTCCTTGAATCCTTAACTGTTTAGAAGTCAGAGTCAGTGTATCCTATAAGGATCAAATTCTAAGACACTTGAGGATTCCTTTTACAGCATCTTCGCCAAACTACTGCTCCTCCGTTAAGAGTGAATACTGACCGCAACATGGATTTCCTTGAATCCCTGTCCACATCTTCCATTGCCTTTTTGTAGGTTAATGGATCCTCGACGCCATCGTCGAGTATGACAACCTGGATTTTAGTTAAATCTACGTAGCGGTCGGGTTCTTACACAATCTTCCCACTACATCGAGACACCCTCAACTCATGAGGTGGACTTGACTGAGTGATGTACTGGCTTCATCAATACTCTTGTTGAAGTGCCGCTTAATCAAACACTCTTATTGATGTGTTTGTAGCCTCTTCAAAAATCTCGTTTATCACTACCTTACTTCATGGTTTATGATCTCGAACATGGTCTTCTTCCAAGAAGGTAGCGCTTGTCGATATAAACACTCTGTTTTCTTGAGGATCGATGAAGAGACGACCTCTCTGTAGGATCGATATGGCAACACTAGAGGGGGGTGAATAGGGTTGCTTACATACTTGTAGATTTTAAAAAGTAATTTTAAAAATAATTAAAAATCAAACGAAATTTATATGAACAAATTAAAGTGTAGAGAGAGATGACACCATAAATTTTTATAGTGGTTCGGAAATCCCTACTCCACTCCCCAAGACTCATTCTTGGATATTTTACTGCGCTGGCTCTCTTACGGGTGAGAACCAAACCGATCGACCCTCTTTTTTTTGTCCTAGGCTAAAGAGAAACCCCCGATCCTTTTTTTATTGGTTCAAGATCCAACCAATTGTTTTTTCTCACAACCAAGTTGTACCCACACCTTCATACAAAACCCAAAAATGTGAAATGAGCAATATAAAGAAAATACCTCACTAAGGTGAATTTGCAAATTTCGCACTAAAGCAATAGCTAGAAAGCTAAACTCTAATATATCTCTCACAATAAAAATATTGGCAACTTTTTGTGTGGAGAGAATGAAAGTTTGAGAGCAAAGTGATTTGAAGAGAGAATAATGTTTGCTTTGATAATTGGTGTGTAGAATGGTAAATTTTGTGGCTTTAAATAGAGTTTCGAAGATGAAATTTGACCGTTGGATTTAGGGCAACAAAGGATGGATTATGAAGATTAAAAGTAAGGATAACGAAAAGAATAAAGAGAATTAGGGAGATTTGGCGAAATTGGTGGAGATTGAGAAATTATGTGAAATTGAGAGAAGATCGTGGAATTGAGAGAATTGTAGGAATTTGATTTGTTGAGATTGAAATCGCCACATGTCCTCACATGATTTGTCCACATCATCTACCACATCAACAAAATTGTTGATGCCACGTTACTGCCACATCATTGCCACGATGGCATAATTTGACTATTAGATAGCACGTCACCTGCCACATGTGCTTTTTCTTCCCCAACTTATTTTGGATATAAATTATTCGTTTGGACTCTGATTTGAGTGATTCAAAATGCGTTGAATTTGTCTTTTCAAGCTCTGCGCTATGGACAATTTGAAACACTAAAATCATCAGTAAATAAAGTTTGTTATCATCAAAACATTTAGTATGATTGAAGCTCGTAAAACTAACACTCTCGTCTCTTTAGGGTAACCTACGAATAGACATACTTTTGAACGAGGGTCCAGTTTCTTTGGATTAGTCACGAGCATGTCTGCGGGACATCCCCAAATGCGGAAATGACGTAAACTTGCTTTACGATCCTTCCATAGTTCAAAGGGTCCACTAAAGACCCTTCCATAAT